TTTCTTGACATAACCAAGGGTTTTTAATTTGTTTTCAATGCATGTATGCGACACATTGAGCTTCTCTGCAATATTTCGTGTTGTGCTGTGACGATTTGAATCGATAATGGCCTTGATATGGGTTTCATCCACTTCGACTGGGCGGCCAGATCGTTGTGAATTTTTCAGTGAAAAATCACCGGAACGAAATCTTTCGAACCAATTTCGACACTGCCTTTCTTTTAAGGCTTCATCTCCATATACGGCACATAACTTCTTTTGTGCTTGCGATGCGTTCTTGCCTTTTCGGAAGTAATACAATAAAATGTGTCGGAAGTGCACGTCCAGTTCTTTCATTTTTAAATTGGGATAAAAACAAAACTAAAGAACTAAACAAAAAAATTTTTTACTAATTAACCTAGAAGCCCATACAGTAGGAAAAAAATATAGGTTAGATGCTCTGGCCACGTTAACAAAACAAAAGAAAGTATAGAGTGAATCTGTCAACAAAAAACGGCAATGACTTAGTTGCCAACCCAATACAATAAGCTATTTTAAACATTTACTCATATCCGTGCATTCCTTACTGCTGCATTTTGATTAATTGCTTAGCTATTTAAGAGAATTCTCCAGGCCTCCCCATCGTTAATTAACCTTGGCAGATAGTCTAACCTTAATATTCAAGTTGACCCCAAGGATGCCTTGACTGTCGCCACTTAGGCCGTATGATTAATCAGACATCTTAATTCTTTAAATTTGTATGGTTGACGCGCACATCTAGTAAAGAAAGCTTTCACAAGATCATAGCTCACTGACGCACATCCAATGAAATAAATTAAATACGAGTTACTAACTAGAGTGGCTCATGGTAAACCCCTCTCAAGCCAAACTTTGGTCTTCCTCTGCCATCGGTTTAGGGAAAGGCCTATCTCTTGCCTATTATTACAGACTTTGCAGTTAATTTCACAAACTGAATCGCACTAATGTCATAGTTTAAACTTACTTTTCACCATCTGTAGGCTCAGTATCCCACATCGATGCAACAAAAGGCTGCAGCATTCCTTGAACAAGTTGACAGGCATTCAAAAGATGAATCCAACAATCAGGTGATTGGCAACCAAGTCTGAGTGCGTTATTAAGTACCACATGGATACCTAAAGCATGGGCTGAATGAAGACGATTTGCTGGAATTGAGGGAAGCGAGTTATTTTCCTTGGCAACAATCAATGCAGCTCTTGCTGTTTCAGTGAGGAGGCCAAACACGGAGCCACAACGAGCCCTCAGGGCTTCAGATGGACTAGAACTTGCTAAAAGAGCCAAATGTTGCAAGCTGTGTAGACTAGCCGAGAGAGTCAAGCCTAACTCTCGTATCTGAGCGCTCTGTTTTGCCGTCTCTTCCTCAGTAATGTAGAATAGACTCAAGAGTCTTTGGAGTAGTGAGGTTGTTCCTACATCCTTTGCCTGCGATCTGTAATAAATAATCGTTGAAGGTTAATTTATAAAAAAATATAGTTATTATATATGACTACAAAACACTGACCAGAGTGCTAATCAGTAATAAATTAAGAACAGTTACTAAATACTGTTATAAAATAGACACCCACCCATTTTTTAATCGTACGGCAAGATTTAAGAAAGTTAAGAAAAAACCAAAAAAATAAAACATCACTAATTCAGACCCTAGTAAACTAACCCATATTAATATTTCTTTTAGTGGGGGTGCGCGATGGACTTACCTCCGCGTGGTGCTCCCTGGGCAACGTATACTCATAAGGTAAAAAATCTATTAACCCGCAGCTGAATTCTGACTTCAAACAACCAACACCCAAATCTATGTCATATTCGACTAATTCCACAGTCTCATCTCACCTTTTTTCTAACTTTGTGCCTGTTTCTTTTACATCCTTGAAACACTCTTATCTTCCCTCCCCACCCCTCAATTTTTTTTCACTTTGATTTTCCTTCCCCTCTGTGAAGTCTGAAGTCAACTAAAAGGCTAATGATAACTATCATAACGCCTGCCATTTGATATAAATAAATATTTCATTTAGTAAACGAATTCTATTGAAGTCAATATGCTTTAAATATCGATCGTCAAATAAATCGATTTGAACAAAACGAGATAGACAAAAAAGTTTGGAATTTTGGCAAGTGCAAGTAAATCCACGGGATTTAGGTGTTCAAATGCTTATCAATACTCTACACTGGGTTTTAGAGACAGTGGAGCTCACTTTTCCTTCGCGGGGCCAACTGGTGTCATAGAAGGTTGACGTGCAGAAAAGAAGGAAGCGAATCCGGTAGACGATATATCTACAGGCATTCCAGCTAGAGCTATTGTGTTGGTGATGGTTTCAACAATCCTCTGCCAACCAGCTAGGAGGACGCAAGAAACCAACGCCTCACCGACTCGATCTCGAACTTTCGTCAATGTCCCATCTTCCACATTCGTAAAAATATCATCTTCGGCATCCTTTGAGGACCCAACAGCTTTCTGAAAAGCAACCATGGAGGAAAATACAAAGATTTTAAAATTCTGAAATTTGGAAAAAAAATGTATGAACTTTCTTCTATTTCATAATAAATGAATTGTGTTCATTTGTGAAATTTTCTTAAAATTAAAAATAACTTATTTTTTGTGCAAATTGATTAAATATTCATAGTCCTAAATAATATTTTTATTCTGAATGGTCTCAAATAAACAAAATAAATGGAACTGAGCTTTCAAGTAATTAGACATTTTTTCTTAATGTAATCACCGAATAAATACAAATTAATCAGTAAAATGAAGTTCAAACAAGATTTCAATAAAAGGGTAAATATGAATAGAAAAATAAGTTTGAAATGTTTCACTTACATCAAATGACCATCCGATTCCATCGAATTCAATCAACATCTCAACTAGACAAGAACCTCTAAGGGGTGGTTCATTTTCTCCAACCATAGTTCCACATAGAAGTTTAGGAGATAGGCCGGAAGAGCTGAGAATATCTTGATTCCGAATGCCCCGATAGACTTGAGATAACCACGTTTCCGATACATAGAGCATTAGTCCTGATCCAAGAATCAAATCCAGAAATTCAAACTAACAGAAAGACAAGACCACATTTTCATGGAAATTGAATTAATAATATTTTAAAAGACGTTTTGATCGTGTTCTAAACCAGGAAAGGTAGGTAAATATACAGCCATTTCTAATTTCCTCTAACTACACAGATTACAGACGATTCCTAGGTTGCCAAATAATAATTTTGACTAATAAGTTGCCAAGAATATGTTAGTAGATCCCCTAAGGAACTGGTGGTATTTAAAAAGCTGTAGCCCACTCAACAGAATATTCGGTTTTCATTTGGAAATGAACCGGATAAAAATGAATACTTTAACCAAAATTAAAACAATGTAACCGAAGTATCAGTTTGACGTGTTTGTTAACTTGAGTATTTATAAATTATAAGCTTAAATAGTTGCTCAAAAGTTCCAAAATTATGGGAAGAATAAGGAAAGGTTAACTTGAAACAGCACATATTTCTGAGTCCCGGATTTTGGAGGCCTCCAAAGGTAATAGCAGAGTAATAATACTCTATTATAGAATTCATCGGCGTTCGTAAAGTAAGCTGACCTATCAAGCGTCTGTAGACTTATTGATCAATCTTAAAGGTTAAATCGAAATTGTTAAAATCTGAGATGTTGTGAGAAGGTGGGGGAGAAAATTAAGTCCAATTGAGTAAGTCTATGCTATCCGTCGGGTTGGTAACCCCATATTCTCACTACTTTCTTAATATCTCAAACGGAGGACCCAGAGTGCGTCTTTGCTTTTCAATTCTGCTTGGACTTTTCCATTAAACTGTAGGGTATTTACCCTCTCCCACATCCCCCTAAAACGACCTAAAATGGACGCTCTCAGTCTTTACTTCGATTCCGTGGTAGCTAACTTATTATGAATTGGAGGAGCCCAATAGACCGTACATCACATTTCGAGGCATGTATAACCAAATATCTAAACACCTCAGTCATAATTTTGGTAGTGAATTTGCTGTTGTTTGAATAGAAACCAGCTTGAAGGAGACGATAGTTCAAAGCTAACGCCGAAACGGTGGCGACATAGATTGCATCAGCATTCAGAAGAGTTCCACCGACATCGTAGATTTGTGCGTTATCGGCGATGTCCGAAGCATCTGATGGACTCAGAACACCCCCAGAAACACTCGATCGACGCTCTTAAAAAATAAAGCTAAATTTACCCCCAATTTAAAACATTAAGAATTATTAAACCTTTTAAAATTACTAAATAAACAAAACATTGACAAATACAATAGTTTCGCACTAAATGTGCAAATTAGCATAGAAACGGATTTCTAAATTCTTAGCAATTATTGGGGAACACTTATAAAGCTTCAATAATAATGAATGTTGCGTTATCAAATTTAAGAAAAAAAGTGATGTTTAGGAATTCTTATTAATTATGATCACCATATCTCGAAACTGCACTGTTTCTAACGACTTGGTCAGGCCCAGTTCATTATAAACTTTGAAATAAGTATGAATGTGCATGAATTCCTGGACCCATACATCATGCTTCCATAAACTTCGACGGGTCAGCTGAAAGGATCTTGCTAACTTTAGTTCTGTCATAGTTACATAAAGCGTACAGCTAGTTAAACGTGACTTGCCATGAATATACGTAACTAATTAATTAACCTTTGCAGTAAGCTGAAGAGAATTCTAGGAGGAGATTATCCAATTCAATGGTGGATTGAGCATCGAGAAGACTTGGAATCGTCTTCATGAGAGAGAGAAGGTAATCATGAGCCGCCCACCGATCAACTTCCAGTGACCGAGGTAGCTATTAAATAAAAAATATTTCCCTTTTAAAATCGAAATTGCATGCCTCATCTTTAATGTCCAAAAGCATAGATAAATATATTTTCTAGTAAAACTTCTTATTTATCTTCACGGTTTCACGATCTAGTCAATATCCCAGTTGGAAGATTCATGTTCGTTGAACACGAGCAATGTGCAATATCATTACTCCCAATTATGACGAACAGGAAGGAAACTAAAACCATTGTAAGAATGAAATAGGACACGTCATAAATTATTACAAGGCTAGCACACAATTAGAGCTTTGGAGGGAGTGGAAACGTTCTAGGACACAGTCCAATAGAAATTCGATCGGCATCACTTTGTTCGCCAGAATTCTGTTGATTCATGCCAATGTCAAACTTTTTGCTCAATTGGCAGCGTTCATTAGTAATTAGTAAAGTGACTTTACAATTTTCTTCAAGTATTCTGAGGATTCTACGGCAAACAGCAGATTGACAAAGCTCTCGAAGACCACTCAAAACAGTAGAGATTCTTAAGTGATCCTTAGAAATGGCCGAGTAATCAGGAGGTTAGAAAACAGCATTGATACAGCAAGTGCAAGTCATTCAGCCTTCATTATATGCTTTGACGAGGGAAAAGAAACAAAATCACTCTTGAAATTCAGAAGTATTTTCTCAGAGAACCAAAATATACCTCAAGAGCAACAATCTGCCTTTTGTCTTCAATTGACAAAATTTGGATCTTCTCTGAAGTCATAATAATAACCATTGTCACACGAAGGCAAAGAATAAGCAGATCGTTGGGACAAGGAAATACGAGCATTGAAATTTAAAATCCCATAAAACTGCAAACTGCTCTTACACCAACACAGCAATTTCTTTTTATTTCTTGAGAAATAACCAATTTTTAACTGCATTTTCCTTAGGATAAGTCAACATAATTTTTACATTCATTTTTATAACTATTGGAATTTCAAGTTCTTCTTAGCCATTCAGCGATAACTTTTACAGAATATAAGTAGTAACTCGTATTGATTTCCAGAGACTTACCTATTATTAATCTTTATTGCATTAATAATAAAAGTAAAAATGGCGAGAAGAAACCATAAAATGAAATATTAATTTCATAGAGGAAAAATATTTAACAATTATTCATAATTATACATTCACCTTAAAATTTACCATCCATTTAATTTCTTCAATTTCGAACAATTAATTTCATTAGCCGTTAGAGGTTTAAACGACTTCGCAACTCAGACGCCTTTGATCCTGAGTCTATGTGATTTATCCTCAATTAGGATTGGCTCATAGTTAATTGGTTTTATCGAATTTATAAGAGCTGTTAATACAAAATGGGACTCATGCAAATTTCTTCGACAGAATATGTTGCTGTCATAGAACATGTTTTAAAGCCTTCTAAGCCCCTAAGTTAAAATTGTTCGGCATTTGATTGAAGAAATCTTCAATTAATTTGTAAAATTCGTAATTATCTTCACTTAAAAGGTGTTGAAATCAATTCCAACTTCAGTTTGCATCACATATTCTCAATCACTCAATCAATAAATCAAAATAAACTCATTCCAAAAAATTATGAATCACAAGGTATGAGTTAAAGCTAGGGAGTGACCACTAAAAGAAACTGCGATTTAAAATCTTGAAGCCATGATCCTACTAAGAGAATAGCACTGGTTTATCCCAGGCAAACTGCAAAATGAAGACTTTACAAGCTGGAATGAATTCGGTCCGATGGGTCTAATTCAACGTGAATCTCAGGAGACATATTCTAGACAAAATTAGAAGGAGTAGATAACCAAATCTATGTAAAATATAACAAAAAACATTTGTTTCATAAAATTTACTTTACTGTAACTTACTGACGCGCTCTGTATAGCATTTCCACGTGAACTATCAGGTTTATCCTTCTCAAAAGCCTTCTTACTTTCTGAAATAAAATTAACTTGAATTTAAATAGAAATTTCAAAATCCAAAAATCCGACGTGACTTACCTTCCGATTTGGATATCTGGGAGTGGATTTTCTGAACGAATGCATCGCTCAGTCCCTCACTGTGTGCGAGCTTCCCCAGAGTTGTTGAAATCAAATTAACGCATTTGGCACCGGTGCAAACCAAGGATTGGTTTGCCGTTTGTGAACAGGCATGAACAGACTCCAGTATTCTAAAAGCAAAAAAATTGTGAAAAGCAATAATTTGGGGTTCGAAAGAGGGTTACTATTTAATAGTTAAGAGATATGGAATCTTGAGTGAAAAGAATTCACAGATAAAGCTGTCAAAATCATATTTCCGTTCAAAAGGGTTGAATTAAATGGCGTTAAATTGGTACTATCGTCCAATAACGGTATTTATTTGAAGAAATAAGTCAATTACAAGATTTATTGATTAATCTTGACTACAAAATGCCAATGAAAACTCATCATGGTGATATGAAAAAATTAGTCATTCCTTAAGACTGTCCCAGAATTAAGGTCAAACGAAGATGAAATAGGGCAATGGAGAAGAAGTTTATAGGACAGTAAGTAAAGAACTTATTACAAAACGACTTTCTCAAAAATCTGTAAGATATGGGAAATTAAAAACAAACACCTACATATTGAAAAGTCGAAAATCTGGTGCCTGGAGATCACTGAAATACACCGAAGGGGATTCGAAGCCATCATCAGTGTCTTCTGTTGACAAAGGCATAGACACAACAGGTCCAGCAATGCTTAGAAGTCCTTCTGGTGTACTCAAAAGCTAAAGTATCATAGTAAATAAGGTTTAAAATCATTTGGAACTTTAGAACTTTCATGGAAATCATTGAAGAGAAAACAAAAACAAAATAAGGGTCGAATTATTTCTTTAATTCAAAAAACATAGTTATTATTAGTGAAGTAAGTAATAAAATAACTATTAACAAAAAACAAATAATACATGCACAATAGCCTTGGATTAATTAGTAATGAGAAAAACTTAAAATTTAAATAAAAGATAGAAACTCACTCTACAAACGGAGTTGAGGGCAATCTGACGAAAAGTTGGGGGTGGATAGAGAAGCATTTTGTGGAATAGTGATTCCAGCATAGGACGCAATTCACCAATAGGTCCAACAAGGAAGGTGAGGTCAATCACAATGCTTTTAAGAGAAAAATAGTCACTTAAGATGACTTGTAGTAGTAACTTTGTTTACAGCAGACGAAGAGCCCAAACCTTCAGAATGAAAACGTTTCTTATTCATCGATTGTTAATGAAACCATTCTCCAGTATGCTGATTATTCTATCAGATCAAATGACACAATGGAGCCCAAATGTTGCCTCTTCCCATTGACATATTCTCGATTAAGCAGAGACAGTTTTGCAAATCGAAGTTGTAAATGAAAAACAAGAGCTATGGATGGTAAACTTTTGATATCACAAAAGCGCCGACAACTTCCACATCGTCTCATAAATTCAAATGAAGCGGACCTTTTCCTTTTACATATCAGATTGGTTCATTTGTTCTTAATCGAAGTTGAAATTAAATGTATATTAACAATGCCGAAGAGAAATTCAATATGTTATATCCAAAAGTACCATAAAGCTGTATAATCATAGCATACGATAAAGAAGAGACAAGATAGTCTGCGGATAAGAGATTCACAAAATTGAAAGCTGATTTATCGCAAATGACGATTATCTTTGCCGTTGGGACAAAATGTTTCTACTGAAATCTACATGGCGAATCACCTTTGAACAGATTTTGACCAACACATCATTAAGATCAAATGCTCAACAAGCATAATAAACGTTAACTTACTCATAGACAGTTTTTAGTGCTTCAGGAGAGAGCATTGGAGGAGCAACTGAACTAGCCGTTCCAATAGTCTGCTTTTCTCCTGACTGCCTCGTGAGAGATTGAAAATCTGATGTCGATGTGATTGTTTTCTCCTGCTTTGGATTACTAAGAAACCACATTAACATAGGACACATTCTCTGCCTGAATGAAAAAGGTAAAAATAAAAGGATCCAGTATATTAACAGAGCGCAATAAATGCTACCTTACCATAGAATGTTGAGGAAAACTCTTTGCTTAACCATTGAAATGGGAAGAAGGGACACGATGGTAGCAATAGATTGAAGACACAAAGGAACTGCAGTTTTATTCAAGTTAGTCGTGTTATCTGGAAGAAGAGACTCAATTAAACACTTTAGAACACCCAGAATTTGTATTTGAGTATCAGAAAGCTCAAATTGTTCGGCATTTTCCTCAAACATGCAGTTGTAAGCAAATTTATTAGATGAACGTAAGTCGGCATTGGACATCTAAAAGAAAAGACATCATATTTTACAAATTCAAATATAAAGAACTATATTAATGTTTAGACTTACTTCCCCACTTATACAAACATTGTTTTTAGCAACAAATGACTCCACGATTTGGACAAGAGTAGTTTGAGCCACAAATGACTTTTCTTTGTTTCGAGTAGCCATAAATTTGGAATATAAATCGAGACATATCTACATAAGTTAATGTTTACAAAATTTGGTTAACTTCTTATGAAATAAAAGAAACTTAAGGGAAAAACTCGAAGCTTCAAAATTAGTAAAGAATATACAGTTTGGGTTAATCACTCTAAATGCCTAACCTGGACAACCCTCAACATTGAAGTGACATTAAGTCGACTGTGCTTTGAAAAGCTCAATTTCAGAAGTAGCTATAGCAATTGAAATAATTAGTTAAAAACAAAACGAACCTTGAGAAAAGATGTCTGAATAAGTTCGCTGAAAATTGTACAAGGAGAAATGGTATCAAGAAATTGAAACGTAAGATCTGTATCAGCTAAGGGATCGTTAGATTCATCATAGAGAAATTCTGAATCAACAAATGCCTAACAAATAAGAATTGAGAAATCATTACTTCAAGTGCAGTAAGTGCATCAGCATTTAGCTTAGTATTGCGGGATTCAAGAGCAACCTGAATGGGAGCCAATACCACTTCACGCACTCTATGCTTTGACAACTGATGCAAAAGGCATTCGTTCTCCAAAATATCTAAGATATTAATAAAGAGGAGTACTTACTAATAGCCTCGCTAGTTGAGAATGACAAGAATTGCCATTTTTCAGAGAGGCTATCATTTTTTATTTGTTCAAGAGCAGATTTGATGGCGAAGGTTTTACTTTCGGCCATTTAAATGGTAATTCGATGCGTAAAAGCGATTTGTAACAATTTTTATTATTGGTGACTAAAAACCTCGCGGTATTATCAAGGACACATTTAAAAGAAAAAACGACCTTAAGGTAATAAACTTATAAGAATTTCTAATTAAATTTGCTGACTAGCTAACTTCACTTATAGACAGATATTGCAAAAAGTTCGAAGCTTTTATAAGTAGTACAGTCTTATGAATAAAAAACCGGGATATTCCTAAAAAAATTATTTTTTATATAATCCGTTGTCCAACATTTCTATTGGAAAGTTTTGGCATAAAGAGGAGCACCACATTGATACAATTCTTTACTATTTATGACATTATTAAATCTTATTTTGCATCGGATGAATAGCGCTAATTTGACTCTAATGTTATATAGCGGAAGATGGCATCTGTTGCGTCAGATTCGTCTTTTGATGATTTTAGTAACAGTGATTCCTGGGAAACTGAGCTTGAAATCGCTCTATTAAGTAAGTTATCGGTTAGATAATTTCTTTGTTATTGCTACTTTATGTGCTATTGTCTCGTCTTCTATTTTATAATTTTATTTTTCTCTATTTGTTGTCGATCAATTTCTATCCATTAAATATCTACAATTTTTATGTATTTTTAACACTTAACACAGTTCATTTTTTCTTCTATTTCGTATTTGCAGAAAATGCACCTTTAGCGGAAATTAAATCTATCTGTTATCTCCGTCGAATTCCATCAAGGTTGCGACGAGATTTTTGGCGTTTGTGTCTCCGAGTTGAGTCCACCTCTGGAGGAATGTCAAGTTTCACAGATATCTTTGATCTTCAATGTCAAGAACAACTTCATTCAGAATGCGACAATGCCGCAGCTGAAGTTCTCTCTCAACTTTCCCAGATTGGTGCATCAGAGACCGATATTATTGACGACCCCCCAACATCCTTTCATCTTTCAAGCGTCTTCGAGTCGATTCTCACGCATTTTTCTCAGACTTACTCTATTCCATTCGTACCTGGCAATGGTTGGATTCAGATTCTATCTACTCTCTACATAGTTCTTCGTCCCAGTGATCGGGACGACTTATATCTCTCTTTCACCTCCGTTTATCACCGCTTTATAGCCAGTGGAACAAGAGGAAGTCATCATGCCTGCAACGCTTTCAGACTTTTGCTTCAATACCATGAACCGGAATTGTGCAACTTCCTTGACTCTCATAAACTTGGGCCGGAGGTATATGCAAAAGCTTGGTTTGACAGCCTTTTTGCTTGCTCTTTGTCGAATGATGCGCTACCTGTGATGTGGGATTATTACTTTCTTCTTGGTGAACCTCAGTTCGGCATGTTCGTTGCTTTGATTCTGCTGGTTAATGCAAAGGACAGTCTGATGCAAAAGGAAAATGTGATTGGTCAAGAAGTGACGGAAGATACATTTTCTTTGGGAGATAGTGATGAATGTGATGATGAAGCGGCCGATTCAGAGAATGTTATTATTCCTTTAAAGTCAAGAGGTGAGTTTATACTTTCGACATCAACCATTTTTTACTCAGTAGCCTATCATATTGTCTTATTTCCAATAATATCCTTTGTTTAAGCAGTAAAGATTTTTCTGTTGCTTTGTGTAACTGCCGTTGTAACCTTATCGTGTTGTCACGTTTAACGTCGTCATTATCGTTCCAAGTTTAATACACCTTGAATTACCCTTTTCTTGATGTCTGGTGTTTATAATTCTTGATGATCAAGGTTGATACTAGAATGCGTGGTTCTTAATTGTGTGGCTCTTGGGTTCGTTTCACTTTCTACTAAAATGAAATTTATGCGATTTTTGGTTCAATTATTCAAGTTAATGTTTGTCAAACGATATCAATGTGTTAAAGAGTCACTTGTTTAAGTCTTGGCATAAATATCAAATGGTGCAATTAGTTTGTAATATAGGCTTCAAGGCGACTTTTTCTGCAAGTTTTCTCACATGACTGCTAAAGCGCGATTCGCAGCGGAAACATTGTACTCTTTATGTAACAGTTGTATACACGTTTGAATTTTTATAGGAGTCTGTATGTCACAAAGCCATATTCAGTCATTGAAATGACAATTCGCTTGCCTAATCGGAAATAACTTGACTGTATTTGTTAATACAATCGCCTCCTTTTTCTTGTTTGTTCCGTTTCTAATTTCATTGAATTTTAGTACTTTTTTCTTGTAACCACTTGTATATTTTTGATAAACCGAATACTGCTAGGTATTTTATCAAATTGTCGGTGGATCCAAGAGTCGATTTCCATAGTTGGAGATAGTAATCGTCGTTTTTCAACCAAGTTATAATGATAATTTCCGAAATATTTTCGAAAAGTTACTTTTGGTAGTTGAGTAGGATTTCAGAAAGAATATTCATTTATATACATTGGACGACATTCATGTTGTGTCTTGTTGCGCTTTGTATTAATTTTTATTTATTCTATCAATAAATTTTTTCCATGACTCGAAGTGTTTCCAATCTAAAATTTTGTCCGAGTACGACTTTAGAGTTGTTACTTTTCAATTTTTACAATTTTTTCCAGTTTCGATTATTGTCGCTTAGATCACTAGATCTGCATCAATACAACTTCGATTCCATATTTATAGTTTGACGTTTCCTTCTGATAATTTACCTATTTACCTGCAAAATATATTTTTCTGTTCATGAAAGTACTTTCAAACCTAGCTGTACTTCTTGGTTGCTGAGGCCATTGTAATTTAGCTTCATTTCTCCCATGTTGTACCGATTGATTGGCTAATTGTTTTTTATTTACATTTTAGAGATCTAAACATATCTAATAATTAAAATCTCTTATGTTAGTTTCCATGTCATAAGTGTTTCACGCAGTTGTCTCTGTACTTTTACTAATGATATTCTTAAATAGTTTGAGTTAACTTCACTAGCCACATTTTTTCGATTATTGTGAGGTTCATTATCATAAATTGAAAGTAACCATTTTATTCGTCTAAATTTTATTCCAGATTCGAATATCTACTGTTCATCACCTTGGGTTTTCTCTAATAAACATTTATGTCTGAGGTAACTGTCTGCTACTGTCTATTTCCTTTCAGATGCTATTCTCTGTGATTTCATTTCATTGACACTGGAACTCTTTTCCTTATTGGCGAACCTACACATGCCCAATGCTTTGGCGTCCCGATCGACTTGTTTGTGTCCAATCGCTTTATTGGAAATTAAATAGTTATGGCATCCTTAAACCTTATTTCTTAAGATTAGACATTGAACCCATTACCTACTATTTTACTTACAGTCACTCTCTTATGCTATTATTTTGATCACTTTGTCTTAATTCTAGACGAAATTCTAAGTAAACTCCGTTCCCTCCCCTCTCCAATGCAACCCACAGACCTCCCTGCCCTGGTGGACATCACACGTGTATACGCTTGCAAAACGCCCAACTCCTTCTATACCCACTACCTCTCTTTTCTCTTCGGCACCCCAAACCCGGGCAGTGACGATGGAAACCACCTTGTAGACGGTGCTCTTACCCTCTTGGTTTCTGTCGAAGAAGTTCTCTCAGTCGCACAGGCCTCCACATCTCAACATCATCCACCGAGATCCCTTGAAGATATTGAGAATAAAGATGAGGAGGAGGAAGGGGTCAGATTCCTACTTGTCGATTGTAGACCAGCGGATCAGTATAATGCAGGCCATCTGGCGACGGCCTTCTATTTGGATACGGAATTGATGTTGTCGAATCCACCGGAATTTAATACTAGTGTGCAGGTAAGCTGTTCCATAGATTTATCTATACTTAAGATGACTTCGAGAAGTGAATGCATAACTTGAAGGAATGCCTGTCCATCTGATTGCAGCATTGTAGTTTATAAGGTGTCTATCTCAAGAATTTCGATAGATACTGATGCTCCTTCTGTTGCTTTTAATCTTTTACCTCACTAACCTGCGTTTCCTCTTATTTGAAGGTGTAAGAGTGCAGTAGAGAACTGCCTCACCTATATGGAAGAGGATTTTTTTGTCATCCCCCAGAATTGAATTATATAATTGATTAAATATATAGTTTAAGTGCGTTTCTTCTCTTGATAAATATTCAGTACTTAATACTGCCATTGACGGCTTCTCAAATTAATAGTTATTCTGTCTTTAACAAAGGAATTAGTTTATACATTGGGTATTCTTTTAGCGGCTTGAGAGAGGCAAACATTAAACAGAGTGCATGAGAATGGGTTAATTTGTAGCATCAGGTGTAAATATTTGTGCCACCAATACGAAATCGCGGATTTCGCAAATAGATAGTTGAGTTCATTTTGAGTCCAAGCATAGTGAAGGAAACAGTTTTGTGGGTTTTTATTTCTTAGTCGACAAGTTGTTCACTGTGCAGTAAGGGCCCTTATGTTGGTAATGACAGTGATGGTCAATCACAAAGTAAATAGAGAACACGCTTTCAGACGAATATTTCATGCTGCTTCCTAACGTCGGGACTTGAAGGTCTGAAAGATTACTACTACTGCTAACGCTATAAATGAAATGTATGGTCAAGCGTTGACTCTCCGCCGATGTTAATTTTCCTCTAAGTTGTCTAAATAGAGCATTCGGCATCTAAATTGCTGCACTAAACTCAAAACGATCCAGAAATTGAAAATAAACCTCTGGTTGAATCAGATTCTTGGTTAACTTTGAAAGATCAACTACACAATTGTACTTGAACCGCATGATAACTTGAATAGGAAGAGAATCTGGTTGTCGCCTCATTAACTCTGTCAGCATAACAAAGATGAGTTGAGAAACACGAGCATTTCTTTGTTGACCTGACAACCAAAAATCAATCTCCTTGACTCAAAATTGCTATTGGGGTCGAGAAGTGGATCGTTTACAATGGCGTTGGTGAGGAAAAGCCAGTGGTTGTCTTCAAATCAAACATTCACTCCATCCTCTAATCCTTTGCAAGGCTTCTTCCTTCAGTAACTTCCTCCACTACTGAGTGCAGTAATTCATTTCGACTTGGTTAAATCGTGCGAAACAGTACAGGCGAAGTTGAACGTCAAAGATTGAGAAGAATAAGCCAGAAAGTAAAACACACCCGAGCAAGTTTATTTAACAGAATTCCCGGCAGACCCACAGAATTAGGATGACTTGCACAGAAGTTGAGAAACTAAATTGGGATGCTCTGTCACATCTGCCTCATTCATCAGACCTTGCTTGTCACATTTTCTGACGTCGAAAAATATACTAAGTAGTGTTGTACATATCGCATTTAATATTCATGATTTCTTATACCACTAGTATATTGAGTAATAAACGAACGGTTATTTGTTTTCTGCAAACCAGTCGTTACAAGTAATCTCTATATTGTTTCGGCATGCTATCAGACCTTGGTATTTTTTTTTCTATAACAAGTTCTTTCTACGCTAGTTGTTTAAAATGTTTTTTGGTATATTTTTAAATACACTTATTTTAATTGAAGGAAAGGTGTACCAAGAAACACCGACGTATGGAAGAATTCGATTTATCGAAACACTACTCCAATTCTAGCACAGTCGATCTCTCACATAGGCTTCTCATTGTTTCGCTTCACGTCTTTGTTATTCTGAATAATGACTTCCATTTTCTATATCTGAAGGAGTTTTTCGTATCATTCAAAGTATAACATTTTGAATTGTTATATTCTCCTCTGAACCTCTCTACTTTTAGGCACTTCTCCAAACGCAGCAAAGAGGCATTGCTTCGGGCTCATTGGCTGTAGGTGAGCACATAGTCTTCATGGGCAGTGGTCGACAAGCCGAAGATCGTGTAGCCAACATGGTGATCGCCCACTTCCTCCGTTTGAACACCCCTTACGTGAGTATGGTCGACGGCGGCTACGCTGCTTTTCACGAAGCCCTAGGCCCAGTTGAATTCAATCGTTTCCTCGTTTCTCATGACGAGGATCTTTGTTTCATCTGCGCATCCAATCGTGGTCAAGCAGCCATTCGTATGGCTCAAAAGGCATCACATGCGCAAGGCAGTCTCAGCATTCCACGTTCTGCCCCTATTCCCCCTCTACCTTCTACTCAACCTCTTAGTGTTGTCTTCTCAAAGTTCTCAAACCTTTTAAAGAAGTCATCTCCCTCCAGAATTCCTCAAAATAATTTTTCAAATACTCCAGCTGCTGCTCAGTCCGTTCAAAAACAAACATCTTATCGAAATACCGCTGCAGTCTTCAGTATAGATGATAATGATGAAGACGATGAAAGTCCTGAATTCGATCTCCGACCTAACCCTCCTGGTCCTCTACCGATAAGTCCCTCTTCTAAGGGTAAATTAGTTCCAGTTGTCACTAGCCTCGACATCTGCCAACCTGGACAGTTGATTAGCCTTCAATCCTGTTCTACCATGCCTGGAGTGAAACAGAGTTTTGATTGCACGTTGATCGAGTTGGATGAAATGCCGTCTTTTAGAGGAGTTATTCTTGTCTTGGAGAGGTCTGTGGTTGTTGTAAGGGAGCGTGAAAAGCAATTGCTGGAAACTCTAAGCAATCTCATGCAGAAGACCTTCTTGAAGAAGTCATCTGCGCCATCGGTGAATGATAGAACTGCTCTAGATGGAGTTATTGAAGTGGTGTTCCCTCTGACGCATATAACCAAGATTACTTCGAAGAAAATCACCCCAGAAATAATCACATTCCATTGCATTCGACCTGGTGAAGATCTTGTTTCCGAAACCCAGGAAGCTATCCGATTGCTCATCCCTAAGGCCGGAGACGCGGTTAAGGTAATTAAAGCTGCAGTCTTTAGTACAAATGGCATCAGTTGATGAATCGCGTTTTTTTCATCTTTTTAACTCTTTCTCTCTCGTAATTGTCTGATTGCTCTATGCCTTCTTTCTTTGCTCCCACTCTCCTACCCTTATTTTCTTGTGATTTCTTTCCTTTGCTTTTCTTTATCTACCTGTGCGCGTCCGCCATTAAATCCTCTCTTTTCTGTACACATTCCTTTTTTGGCATCACCCTTTATTATTATGAATGATAACTGCTTACTCAATCAATTATGGAAGTGATATAAATCTTTCTTGTTTAACCAAGTAGCTTTTTTATTTATAATGAACCCTGGTTATACATGGAAACGCGTTTTACTAAATATGTTTTTATTAATGGTCCTCTTTTAGCTAAAGCGATTTAAATTGAAAGATAGTAGTGTTATAGATTGAAAAAAGTTGACCGATGAGCACATCACTATTAGCACTCGCAGAACACAGCAAGATGAGCGTGATGCCTTTCCATTCTCCACTGTCCTCCCGTTGTTAATGGCTTAATGTGCTCGATTAACCAATTTCGGAAGCCTTTTTAGGGGTTTATAAATTTGACAAGGGAATTCTAGAGTCCCATGAAATGCCAGTGCAGGATTGAAAAATCTAGTTGAGTTGCTGTCACTAATATAGTCAGTCTTACAACCGGAATTGTAACCCATCACAGTGAATCCCGAAGCGCTGGTGTTAGAAAAACAGAAGGGAGAAGAAGCGAGATGAGCCGCGTCAGAAAACTCCACGTTCAAAGCACGTCAACTACTAACTGTCGATGTATTTGGAATTGGATTTGTTTTCTAGCTGATAGAAAGTGACTTATCAAAGCGTTTTTTGGTCATTTTCAAGAGAAGTAAATGTTTTCTTTTTGAAAACCTACTGAATGCTTCATAATATTGCAAGTTTCTATGTAATTGATAGTTAACGTGAAATTGATATCAAACGAATCACTTAAGGGTCTAGTTAGGTGGAAATAAAAGTCTATAGAGGAATGGTATGGCTCACATCTTGAGTTATTATCATTGTTCAACTCCTTGCCTCTTTACTTCATTGCTTGAAGTAATGCTTATTTGCTTCCAACTGTGATTCGTTCCTCTTCCACCGCACTGCATATCACTTTAAAATTATTATCTCTCCATTATCTGGTTATGTTTTCAGTTTTCTAATATTTATTTGATGGTTATCATTAGCCCTTTAGTTGACTTCAGGCTTCACAGAGAGGAAGGGACATCAAATTGAAAATGGTCGAGATGGGGGGGGGGGAGGAGAACAGAATAGTGTTTCAAAGATGTAAGAGACAAACACAAAGGCAGAGTAAAGGTAAGATGAGTACTGTGGAAGTAATTGAATATGACATACAGTGGGGTCATGGTAGTTTGAAGTCAGAAGTTAACTGCCAGGTAATAGACTTTTTTGTCGTATGAGTATACGTTGCCCAGGCTGCACCACGTGGAGGTAAGTCTATCGCACACCCCGTTTTCTAATATTTTAAATGTTCGAAATGGTTCGGAAGGACAACTACTTGACAAATTCTTTTCTGCCCAACATCAAATAATTCTGAAGTTGAGTCTACTTACCAAACCTACATTGTGCCTTTGTCACCCTGAGAAATATCGTCTTGTTTAACCCACGATTTTCTATTGATGCACGACTTATTGAGTAAAGTAATACTATAGACTTAAATGAAAAGCGAGAGGGAGAGAAAAATGGAGACTGAGGGGACAGAACAATTAGGTGGTGTGTTTAAAACATGCGAGACATCAACATCATCATGCCGGTGAAATCTTCAAGGAAATCTAGATTTCTGTATGCTCTACAGCAAAAGAAGACTTTGTTCTCAAGTTACATTCATATTGGTAAGCAGTAAAGTTTGTGCAATTATGGATCAGGGATCTACTAGATTTTCTGGTTGAAAATTGCAAGAAAGCACTTATTAGCATGCCCGTACGGGACACGTTATTGCTGTGTGCGTTATCGTATGCCTGTATGTCTGCTCGCCAGGATTGGGAGGTGCGGCCGTACAACTCTGTGCGCAGCGACCGTACAAACAGTGACCAATCATTAACCTCTGTTTAACCTAATCCCCCATCCTGATCATGAGTAGCTCTGAGTCAGTCAGGCTTTAATAAGGTAGCAATCCGCTACACCGCAATGAGCTCTATCTGCTTTCACCTTATTTAACACATATCAATCAAAATGATATCTAATAAGTTGTCGTCGCCTTGCGCCATTCAAAATACTTTAATAACAGTAATATAAGATAAATTAAAATGATATTAAAATCTGATAGGCCTTGTGATTAGTTAATGCAGTCAAATGCTCACTGGTTTTCAACCAGTTTAGCCACGTGTTTGCCATTTTGGCGGCTGTATAAAAAAATCGAATTACCTAGCCTCCAAGTACACCACCTAAGCAGCAGATATAATGCAAAGAAGACTCTACTAAACATCGGCGATCATATTTGTCAAAATCGCCTAGTATAAAATTGCTCCCGAAATTAACGAATCAGCCTCAACAGTATCTGAGGGAACAGAAAGTATGTACTGATTATTGTCAGTGGCCATAAGATTTGAAAAGCACCAAAAAATCATTGGAATACAATTTGGACTGCTCTTCAATGTAGATACCATTGACTTCTCATCGACTGAGTGGTTTCTGCATTCACGACGTACGTATTTCCCACATGATCAGCTCTACGACCCCTACCCTCTAGTCAGTGAGGTTTCTTCGTTCAACCTTGATAGCTTTGTACTTTTGCAACAGTAGAACCGGTTTGATGTATATTAAAAAAATAGGGGGATAACCTGTTTCCTTTGTCCCACTAATTATCGATTTTCAGCCTTTTGTGCTTAGAGCAACCAATCTTACGAATAACCTAAAGTCGGTAAATAGACATAATAAATGGAGTATTTGTTTTACAGACGTCCTTTGTTTAAAATATTTTTATGGTCTAAAATTTGCGCAAACACAATTTGTACAATGAAACTTTAGGCTTTATTTTGAATAATAATAATAAGCAATTTCAGCACCTTTGACAAACGTTCAGATGTATTTTAGTTTTTTAAAGCCCATTAAAAGTTAATTTTGAGTTATATCAGCAAAATGATTGTAATGATTGATCATCGATTCTGTAGGGAGTGCATACAGCTATCATTGATGATCAAATGAATCTCTTACGCACTTAGATCAACTCGAAGGTACTGCTTGTCAAACAGGCAGCAAGTGCAGCTGTGAGTATAGGGACCGCTCAGCCAACCATTAATCAATAATCCGTGCATTGATTAACAAACCCTCAATTTCCTTTTAAGGATTAAACCCGGTGTATTTACACTATACACTCTATTTCCCCATGTCATTGGGGTAACCTTGCTAATGTTAGGAGATTTCGCCATAGAGATTGCTGAGGCTTATTCATGCAGCAATCCAACACAAGTCCTACGCATGTTGCCTGTTTGTTAAACAAGTTCGAAAGCACATAGCTACCCTTTCAATACTCCGCTTTTGATCAATCGGCATAATTTTTTTCAATTCTATAATTGCTACGACTGTTAAATAATATCCTGCATAAAAAATAATTATGAAAGGTAAGATTACCTTTCATTCGAACCAGTTAGTTTTCATCACTGTTGAAGTGGTGTATAATATAAATCGATATATCAGATCGAAAATTTGTTTCTTATTTCTAGAAGGTGATTTGGTTGTGAAATCCATTTTCAGGTAGTTAATACTGGTCTACTCAAAAAATAGGATCAGTAAAGCAGTATGCATTATCATATGTATATTTACATATTTTAAGGAAGGGAATATTGAAATTTTCAAGGGGTTAGAAAGGTGTCAGCTATTGTTTTAATAAATCATTTTAAATAGACTGTCTCAGTAAAATTATACTTATTCATAATCTTGATAAAACTACAGAACTAGAAATAAGTTGGGGTTTTGGCAAAATCTAAACAAAGTTGCCCTTAGAAAAGGTAAGAAATAATCAAGGAATCTCCTGTCTTTCTTGACAAAAATTCACCATTTGCTGCTGTTATCGGAAAAGATCAATTTGGAAATGCTATTGAAGTCGAATGACGTTAACAGTTCTATCTCAAGCGGCATAGTCTTTTAGGCACCATCTAAATGCAATGTAGCTGTGAGCACAGAAACATGCATAACAGCCAATAACCACACGCAGATGTCTGACTAGGCAATGATGAGGTCTCAGGAAGAAACAGCATATTAGTTCTAATTGTTTTAGAAGAAGTTGCGGTTGCCAACCCATAATTTCTGAACTGTTTTTGGGAATCGTTCCTTAGGTTCTGTGCCATAATGTGAAGTCTTTGCATGTCATCACGCAACAATTTACCGAATTTAATATGAACAAAATCCTAAAATTCCACGATTTTCAATAAATAAAAATGTTTCACAAACTGCACATGTTTGACCTAATCCTTACGTCTGAAGCAAGCGTTTTATATCATATGTAACATGGATTTTATCAGGAAAGGTTATTGGCGTGATGTTTTTAAGTGAGGACAAGCCAAGAGTTTACGCATTAAAACCTTGCATCAGAGCCAAATTCCACAAGAAGTAATAATGGATAAATTGAATAATTTTGAAGCCTGGTCGAAATGCCTTTTGGAATTTAAAAGAGCAGTTAGAAGGTAAAAAGGTGAAATCCAGAACGAATTTCGAGTATATTATAATTTAATCCGCACAAGTAACATCAATAAAAGAGAAATTGAAGAAAACTACATGTCTTACAGTTATAGTTGGGTGATGTCATTTAAACAATCTCATTTTCATCAGTTCTTCGAAAGGCGTCTAAGGGATTGGGTCTCGTTAACAGGGATTTTTGACTTTCTTCACGGGCACGAAGTTGTGCGCGAAGTAAAGTATGTTCAAGCACTCCAATTCGTATCTCCATGGCAACATTCTCGGCTTTCAGACGATTTATGGCTTGTTTGATGCGAATCACTGGAGCACTATCTGTCATTCTGCTTCCACGTTGTTCCATCTCAGCCTTCACCTTTTCTGTTTCCTCAGCGAGTTTGGCCAAAGTGGCACTGCGCTCCGCTATACCTGCATTGACTCGCGCATAAGCTTCTTTCAATTCGCTTAAATAGTTCTAGGATTAACGAATATGTATATATAAAGGCAATTCCGCAAATGTACATATGATTTTTGCTTTCTCAAATTAATGAAATATATGCAAATAAGTGAATTATGAAATTGACAGAATAACCTTTTCCACGTATGCCATCTGTTTATGCTCGTGTTTAGATATGCTTTTACATAGATGTATAGGCATTGTTTGGTTTAATTAAATTTATAAATTTTTTACAACGACATGTAAGAATTGAAACGCATTTTTCCGAAAGTTAAGTGATTTTAATAACAGTTTTCTGTTCAAAACATGAAAAATACACTGAAGTTCAATATATGGAATTCTTTTATCGGCTATAATTAATAAATGAAAGGAAATTCAACCATATGAAAATAGTGGAGCGCTTTTTAAGGATATCGACCTTAGTAGTTCTTTTGATTGCCTAGTCGTCATTTGGCCTTGTCAGGGTGGTGCTTGAATGAACTTAAGATAGGGATATTATAAAAATCGTAAAGATTTTCGATCAAATATCAAGTTATCAACTTAAAGAAAGCTGCAAATCACCATCATGAGTAAAGTTTTATTGGGTTTAAAAATCTCCCATTGATCGGGGAAATTGCAGCAAGCTTTATATGAGGTCTCTTTGATGTAGATTACTCCGGAAATCAATGATCATTTGCATCAAGAAACATTTGAGTCATTTTGGCATTGTTAAGCATATTTAACTATTTGGTCATATGCAAAAGATCTGCAATTACCATCCAGACATTTTCAAATGAATTTAAGTGTGTGTGCCTATGTGCAAGTTACCTCATTCCTTATTCCTTTCCACTTTTAATTTTCTCTTCTTTTGATTTATTTTTGCTCTAATTATAAATAATGCATTATTTAAATCTACCTAAATCGATGTGTGACTTGTTTTGACATGGTTGTTGGAGTCGTTATATATTGTGGTGTTTTGTGACTAGTGGAACTTCTAAATCAATGATATCCAACAGAGATGAGCAGATAGTAACAGTCCTATGGCAAATAGAAAAATTTTGACAGCACTTACACGAGCACGCACATAACCTTCCAAAGCACCCTTAACCTGACCATTGATGTACTTCTCTCTGGTTCTGACTTTGTTGATGTCGCGCGTAAGGTCCTCCTCCAAGTGTTTGAAATGTTCACGAGATTCGGCAAGGCACTTTTCAACAGATCGTCGATATTGCTTAAATTGCTCCATATGAACTTGCCAATCATTAGATTCTACGTCACTACTTGCCACAAAATCCAATTGAGGCAACGCCCGCTCAAGCTCCTTCTGCCAATTATCTCCTTCAACTTTTATTTGAGGTAGATCAGGTAACGAATTGTCATAGATAGTGGAATGGTTTCCTGATGAACTTGTGTGAAGTCCACTAAAAGGAGTACTGTTAGTGGTATTAAGCGGTTCTACACCAAGTGATGCTTCATCTCCTTTTACTGCTTGTTTGAGAGCTTGGGGCTTGCCAGGACCTGCTAAACCTAAGCAAGAATAACTTCTAAAATAAATTGCTTAAATATGAATTTAGATATGACGGTACCAAGAGCTTTAGGAATGATAATACAATTATTGAAATTGGTAAAATAAGTAAGCTTAATTTCAACACTGGCTAGATTTTGTTCTTACCAGTTTTAACGCACATCTCTGGATAGGAATTGGTTTCTGAAGCAATACCGGTCATGGTTGGCTTTTCAACAGACAATTCAACTAGATTTGAGCCTCCGTCAACCACATCAAGCATTTTGCCATACTCACCATCCTTCTCATAACAAATGCGATTAAACTTGAGAGCGGCATCAGCAAAATGATCTAGTACACGGATGCAGAGTTCACCACTGCCACTTCTAAGTTTTGACGCAGGAAACTCTAGAGAAATACCAGCTATGGAATTGAGAGCCTCTAAAATATTCGCCACAATTTCGTCAGGATGATCGAATTCATGAGAAATTTCTATACTGTAACCTGATTGGTTGATAAGCCATGCTGCTAGATTTACAAACATATTAAATTGTTCAACAGGACTTGTTTGAAAGGTAAAGAAAGTCTTAGATATTCCTTTGATTCGGTACTGCCGACAAAATGATCGTTCATAATTAAGGAGTTTCAATTTTTCGAAGAGATTCGTCATTAATTAGGAAGTCAAAAATGACAGCTGTGAGGGAGAAATGATAAGGGCTAGCTCACCAAATTCACCAACGCCTGATTTAATTTTCTCTAGTAGGTCTAAAAGAATTTCATAAATTATTTTATTTCTTCTAGTGAAATTACTATAAGTACTAATTTTCAGAGTTAAACATTTCAAATATTTAGAAAATTAAAATTTGACCTTACTACATTAAACTACGGTAATAGCCTATCAATTGAAAACTACATTTTGAAAATTATCCCTAAACCAGAAATGATGAATAGCTAAAAAGAATGAAATTGGAAAAAAATATAACATTCCCATACAAAAAGCGAAAAATTTGAAGTGGCATCTGCAAAGTAACTCTAAATGAAAAAGTAAAACAATGTCAAAAATTAGAATAAATAAAAGATATTTTTAATTGTGAGCTTTGTTATATAAATAAGTTAATTAAAATTGTATTACAGAAACGTGTGGTAAAAGTAGGGAATATCTTTCTGATCAATTAATTTAGCTGAAAAAATAAGGCGTGAACCTTTCACTGAAAGATATTTTAAGATTCATTCTTGAATAAGTTTATTATTTAGTTGATTATTTTGCAATTGTAGCTAGACTATTATTATAATTGCATAACATTAACATAAAAATACTTCATTTCTCATGCCATAGTCCTCTACTTTTTTTATCGTCTATAAAACTGGAATAACCATAAAATAGAAAGGAATTGCTCTTACCATTATTTTAATCTTGATATTCAATTAGTGTGTTTTATATAGTTACATTGAAGGAGCGTTATTTGTATTGGTAGGTTTTGCCCAACGTGAAGTTTTATCTAATGATTTCTTTACATTTGGAAATTGTATCATCATCCTGTTGACTTACTTGTTTTGCTTTAAAAGAGAAATCAATTATGGCATTTGCTGCTATATTTGATGTCGTAAACAAATTACTGGAGGAAACTATCCCCGATAATGTTCATCCCATTTTGGCCTTAGCAAAAACCGACCAAGAAAAGAAGTCAAAGCGTAATGCCGATGGAAGCTCAGATGAAGACGACGCACAATTTTCGTATAGTAAATCTGAGCGCGTGGCTTGGATTCGGCAATGTTATAAGAAGCCGATTTCTGCCGCAGGTGTTCGTAGACCGGCTTTTGCCGATGGAGCCTCTCCTCAAATAGCCAAAGCTTCCGTCTCGGAAATTGAATGTGAAAAAGCACGAGAACGTCGCCTAAAACGACAAGCAACTCAAGGTGTGGTTGCTCTATTCAATGCTGTCAGACAATATCAATCTACAGTTGACAAGCAACTTGATGCTTCTGCTCCCTTACTTCTTCAGAAAGAGAAAGTTATTACTGGCTACACAGCATCAGATTTTTTGGATCGTTTATCAGCCGGACTTCCTGGGTCTAAACCGAAAACATCCAAAACTGATAATACGCATGAAGATGTACCTGTCCCTAAGAGGCGAAAATTGAGTTCATTTCCTGTAAGTAAATCATCTAAAGTCAACTTTTAATCCTTGACTCTACTTTAATCAATTACAATTTTTACATTTATAGGAGACAACCTACAGTGTTAAGATTGAGAAAGGCTAACTTACTCACTTCTGTATATTGTTTACATTTTGTAAAAATAAAATTCTCGTTTTTCTATAAATTTCCCTCATTTTCATTCGCATATTGGAGTTTCCAGACATAAGCTTGGTTCGTGCTTGTTTTTAGGCGGTTTGATTATGAGTTTTTTCAAAAATGATTCTATGTAAGTCGTTTCCTCCGATCTCTATTTATTCGTTTGAGAATTCTCTACTTAATACTCTTGTCCTAATGCAGATTTGATGTAACTGGTGTATCTTTGACCGATTTTACGCTATCCTGCGATTCCGATCCAGTTCCGCCTCCAATAACCCAAAGAGAAGTTGAAAGTGATATACATAAACTAGAAAATGCTGAAAATAAACAAGTAGGTTTTGTGGACTTGGATTCTAAACAATGCATTTCCTCGAATAAATTCCATAATGTTCCATCGCAACCAGAATTGAAAGCGTCTACTGAAAGCAGTAAATTGGGACTTGCAAAACTTGCCATTCGACATGATATTATGGATCAGATATCTTCCGTTCTTTCTGATCTCGTCGCTATGGACCTAAAGTTCTCCAAACTGGCACAGGTCACCAAAAGTACTGTCGAGCCTAGACCACAAGCTGCATCTAGAAATATGGGGCTTCAAATAGATCAAACGCCATTGGATTCCTTGCATAGCTTTACTACCTCTGAGCTTCATAAACAGCTGGGGTCAGTGAGGAATTATATTCAAGATCTTGATTCAAAGTACTCGGACGTGGCTAGAAGGATTCAAGATAAAATTTGGAATTTGGAACAGGCAAATGCCAATCTAATGGCTGAAGTTGAACGTTTAAGAAAGTTTTATTGATTGGAAATCGTGAGCACTTATGTTGTGTGTAGATAAATTTAAACTTTTGTTTCCCGTTTTTAAATGTTGTTAACATGACATTCTTTATTTTGAATGGAGTTATGGTCGTCTTACTTTGTTTGTTTCGCAAAATAATCAATTTAGCTTAACATTGGTGGGTGATTCGTAAAATTCGAATAGTCTCCACATTGAATACTACAAACCGGGAAGCAGTATCTAAACCCTACCATCGGGTGGGAACTGATTGGATTTGACCCTATGGGCAATGAAGTCGCAGGTGCTTATGTTATCAATACTACTTTTGGGCCATCAAAAGTACGACTACTCGGTACATTAACTGTATTGAAGGCAATAATCGTGTATCTAGCAGTTGATCGTACAGCCATTCTTTAGGTAAGTGGTTGTTCGCAAATGAACATACCAAAGCTGTTTTGCGCTCCCAGATATGGACGTCCAAAATTGTTTAGGAGTTTTTGAAAACTTATTTAATATCTAAGCCGAAGTAAGACCGCGAGACACATTTTTGACCAAGCCAAATCAAACTACAAGACTGAACAAAAATGGAAAGTGCTCGAGATATTAGGTGCCGAGGCGATTATGGAAAATCCAAAGGTGAGAAATAGCATACAGTGTAAGGTCTCATTTTGAACAGTTTTAAAGCCATATTGATAAATCTAAAATATTGAAATAAGTACCGAGACTTAGGAAAAAACAGTTCAATGACGAAACTTATTGGATTGTTTTATTAATACTTTAACAAAGAAGGCCCTATTATTTCTGTGTGTCAAAATTAGGGATTCGGGGGTCTTGGTTCACCGCCGTTGGGTTGTTGGCCACCGCCCAAATTTTGCATTTGTTGACGCAGACTATTCACGAGGTCGGGATTAGCTTCTTGCATTTGCTGCGCGAACTGCTGGCCGCTGCGAAAAATGAGAAAATATTATTATAAATTTTTATCGATGGCCTCCTACTATTCCGTCTCGTAAGTAAATTGCCATACATTTATCAATATACCTCTTTTAATGGAGCGAGGGAGAGTCAAAATTGTCCTCAAACAAATTCCCTCGTGTATTTATTTAAAGGTAGTTACATTCATTTTTCTACATAGACTCAATGGTTGTCTATACACTTTTGCAATCTATAATCCCATCGGCAAATTCCCTCATGTTAGAATTTTTCATTTCATCTAAAGACGCAAATCTGGTGCCTTTCAGAGGCACTGCCATGATGAAAGAAAATTGGACGTCGTTTTAGCCAAAATATCTTTAACTTCTTCATAACGCCTTCGCAATAACTGTTGTCTGTTCTGCTAGAAAGTTTACCTTTCATATTGAATAGTAACAACTAGTTGGCCTTAACTATTATAGGATAAGTAATAACAAGTCCTGTGAATACCCTCTGTGTAAAAAGGTAAAACAAATCGGCCTAAGGGAACTTATTTGTAGCCACGAAGTTGATCAGTGGAGGATTAGATTAGCGGGGAAGAAGGGAAAAGGTTAAGTGCCGTCAAAAAATGTAGGTTGAATGGGCAATAAGCGAGGACAGTGGTTTCCTACTCCCCTGACTTCAAGAATATAACGCGCCAAAAAAAGCCAACAATACTGAAGAGTTGGCATCGTTGTTTGAAAGAGAAAACATTTGTTCGCATAATGGACTAGGTTCAAACATTTAAAAGACTTAAACAACGTTACCTGAAATGCGGAAAAGTAATTAATGCCATGAAAAATGAAGCATAAGGGCTATTATTGGGAGTTATTTTTCTGATCATAAACAATGTAAGCCTTGACTTTACTGTGTAAACTAATATTTTCATGCTTTGTAAGCGATAAACATGATAGCAATTTATGCCAATGAACATTTCTAGAACGCTTTCTCAATTTATTTCGTTTGCCATTTTTGCACTACATAGTTACATTATAAAAACCGAATCACCTAAAAACCAAGCAGATAACTGTAAAGGCTAAAAGTTGTTAGATTATCAGAACACTGGTAGACTAAAACAATCAGAACATTCGAAAATCGAAGCCAAATACTTTTTGGTAGAGTCATCACAAATGCCACGTCATTTGAGCTATATCGACCAACAGTAACAATCCGTAGAATGACAACTCAACTCATACATGATTAATCAAAGCAAAATTAAATATGTGCAAACTTGAGGCAGCTTACAAAAAGAGATTATAAATTCAACTTGATTAAAGGTTTAATTTTCGACAAGATTTCATATCAAAGGCAGAAAGGTTCGAATTCGAGTAAAGAAATAATCCTCAATTGCAAATATTAAAAACAATAAAAATTATGAAAATTGAGAATCAAACACGATAATGAGACTATACAACTTAACTGAAAAACAGCTAGCATTAAGCATTCTAGAATTTCTAATTAATTTTATTAAAAAAATGAAACGTACTATCGCAGGAGATCATCCATGGCAGGAATTGATGGACCTGTGCCAGTGTGTTCGGAGTTTGCGGTTGGCGCCGCAGGAGCATTACCACCACCGAGAAGATTTTGCATCATACTGCTTACACTATAAAATCAGAATTAAAGAGCTTGCGTAGGTCATAATCTCGATCATACATAGTGACTAAGAAAGAAATAAAAACAACCGACATGCTATAAAATGTACATTAAGCATTTAGAGTTAAATAATTCAAACTAAATCCTCAATGGTTATTCAAAGTTACATACGTCGTTTGCATGTGAGGATCGTTAATCAAACGCTGGGCCATATTTTGCATCACCGGATTGCTAAGTAAAGAACCAAGATCAAGACCACCCAGATTAGGACTCGTTGAAGGCTGCTGATTTTCTTTCACTTTTGCCTCAGCAATTTCCAGATTTTGTTTAAAGTTCTCATTGTTAGGGTCGAGAGCCACTGCTTTTCTGTAGGCCTCAACAGACTTACTGTAGTTACCCATACTGCAATAGGTGTTTCTAAAACGAACGAAATCTATAATAACTGATACAAGCAACATAATGATTCAATAAATTGAAGCTAAACCAACCCCATTCTTGAATAGGCTTTGCTGTATGCTGGATCAATTTCCAACGCCTTCTCACAATCAGAAATTGCTTCACTGAACTTCAACAAACGATGATTAGCTGCAGCCCTAAACAAAATGAAACGGCGATAACATAAAATAGAACCACACCGTACCTATTGCAGTAGTATATAGCGTTGTATGGATCCAAAGCGATGGCTTTGTTATAGCATTCCAGCGCTTCATGAAACTTCTCAGAGGATACAAAGGAATTTCCTTGTGTTTTAAAGACTTCTGCTTTAGCCTTTTCTTCTGAGGTAACTTGTCGAACAGTAGGTCTAAAAGTCTATAAGTATGCAAATAACAGAAATGAGACATAAGCTTTACTGTTTGTTTTCCGACCAAAGCTAGCAAATCGACTTCAGGTTTCGAATCACCTGACACGTCAAATGCACTTTCAATGCATTGCCTAGCAACCTCTAAGCTCTCAATAATGTCTTCTGAGTGTTGACCATTTAAGCATTCGTGCCTAAGGAATGCTGCGATACCCTGGCAAAGCTTTCGCTTTACTTCAGAAGTCATCTGGTAAAAAACATGACATAGTTGAAGGAATGTTCAAGAACCCGAATACATTAAATAAATATATGAATAACTAAAATGTGTATACAAAATATATACCCAATGTAGTAAATTATGAAAAATGAAAAGTAACACGTCAAATTAAAAGACCGTAATAAGTAGACCACACAAACTTGAAGCCAACCAAACACTAGAAACAGACTGAGTAAATTTTGATTGGGTAAGGTAATGTCGTGCCAAAGAAAATGTTACACTAATTAATCTTTTATTCAAGCGATAATATAATTAATTATTTATTGTTGTCCGTACTTAATTAATTTTATTTTACAGTAAAAGATTTATATGAGTAAATATAATTAACTAATTGATGCATTGCTGCTTTTAATAGCCATAGAGAAGTAAATATTTATGTAAATACCTCTAAAGCAAATGGAAAATGAAAATCTTGGCTATCATCCCTTCGTTGTTATAAGCGTGAATTTTAAGTAATGTATTATTTAAACCTAATATAAGCTAAATGAATTAATGCTTTCTCAGCTCGAATATTTCTTTTTATTCTAAGCCAAGAACTTATATGGCTAGGAAAAATTTCATAGGGAAATCGATGAATTATCTTAATTTCCTTCCTAATAATTATAAAACTTGCAAAAACTTTAATTTGCAAAACTTTTATAATGAATCAATTAAAAACTTATTTGTAGTAATAGAGACAAGTTTCCGATTTTTTTAAAATTTTTAAATGACTTTAGAAACCTGAATTAGCTACTCAAATGCAACTCTGCACTTCTTTGTAGTGATATAAATTTGTGAATACGTAGATTGTTATTGAAGTAATTTTGGTATCGATCCTTTGCAGTTTTGGGTTAAAAAGCTAAATATATTTGTAAAATATTAATTTAAGCCAATGGGCAGAATAATTACTAATCACTATGAATTACAATGCAAAATAGTATTTTATGTAAATTTAATATGAACTAACAGAGCTGTAATTTGAGGTTAATCAATACCGCTCACTATAATACCTTATATCTCGGATGATAGGCTTGGTCTATGTATGATCTCATAGTCAATGGCCGGAAAAAAAATTCGAGAGAAAAAACTTTTGGAAACTTTAACTACCGAGCATGCATCATTATTGCCCACTAAAGAAGCCGTTGAAGATAAACAGCCCCTTGATGTCGATGAACAATTTTTGGAAAGAACTGGTAATTTTTCCGTATTAACGATTGTTAGCTTGCTTTCTCTTTTATCTTGTCTGTCTATATACTGTTCTTTTCGGCTTTATGACCGGTCTTCTTATCATTGTACTGCAACTAATTGTTAGTGACGATCAACCATATCTTACTGGACAGCAAAGTTTACTAAATCTTGCTCCTGGCAAGTTAGACTTTAAAATCTTTCTTATTAAAACATCTTACATACTATTTAACAACTTTGCACATTTTAAGGTCTTAGCCATCGGCCAAATATTGATTTTTTGACCTCAGTAATCGTTTATGAATCGTCGAATCCACAATCCTATATGCCTTATGTTCAAAACCTGCGGACATTTTTTGCCCTATATGAAGAAGTTAATATTCGACCTCAGGATGGATTTTCGACTTGTGAAAATGGCATTAAGACTCCCAATAATCCTCTTCTGGTCTGTAAATTTTACCCCATCGTTCTTGAATCCTGTGTGAAGGAAAATAATTTCGGATATGATAGAAGTGAACCCTGTATAATTCTGAAAATAAATAAAGTGAGCTTGCGACCCCAGTTACTAAATTTAAATTTTCAAAATGAACAGTATGGGATTTTTTCTTCATACCTTTTATGTTATGTTATATAATTGCATAATTTACTTTCAAGTCATTAGTGATTAGCCTATTTCTTTTTACTTATTTTTTTGTATTTAATTGGTTTAAATGACTTTTTTATTACCTCTTTCATTATTTTATTGCCTGCTACCAAGAATGAGTAAGTTTAATCGTCTCATTTCTCTCTGGTTGGGTACTCCCGTTTTTTTACTACCTAAAGGTATTTTCATTGACTCACAATTATTATCTGTTTAGATTTATGGCTGGTTACCTGATATTCAGAATACCACAATGAGTAAAAATCCTCTTGTTCGATGCTCTGGAAGGGTAATGACTTTGACTAACATTTTACTTGATTTTAATATTTTTCACAAATTTATGCCTCCATATCGGTAATTGAGATATCATATAATAATTTCCAAATATTACTTAAGTTTACATTATATATTGTTTTCAATACTATCTTACTTTCTAGTTTGATTCAGAGTTTGAAGAATTTGGAACATTACATTACTACCCAAATGTAACAATTGATGGTGTTGTTTAGTAAGTGAATTTTAAGCTAAATTCCTTTTCTCCCTATATTATTTTATAATGCTTTTAACAATTTTAGCGGATATTTTGATAATTTGTACTTTCCATACATAATTCAATATGCCTATCGATCACCAGTTGTCGCAGTACAAATTAAAAAAGTGAAACGAAACAGTCTCTTCTTTTTAACTTGTCGTCTTCACAATCTGAAAACACCCACTTCACCCCTTAGCTTTGAAATTTGTATCGATTGAGCGGATTCATTTGGTCTCCGTCAATACTTGCTGTGAAAACATTTGTTGTAAAAACCTCTATGTTTGACAATTTTATTATGGTAAAGCTTTCTACTCCATGAAAATTGTGTTTTGATGTGAAGCATTCCTTATTCGCTTATCCATAAGTTTACCCTAACAAGGCTCTTTCAGCTGAGGAAGTATTAAAATTTTGTCCTGCAATAAGCTTTGGGACCAGAAGAATGAAGTGTAACCTCTTGGTTTGAGTTGAGATATCCTGAACCATAAAAATCCTTCAGTCCACAGTATAGAAATGTCACCATAGCATTGAAGACACAGAAACTTAAAAAAATGAATTGAATTTCCCTTTCCGCTTGCAAACCACTTTAAAGTAGCTCTGATTTAATCAGCAAAGGTATTTTAGAAGACCGACAACATTGCATGGGGCTGGTATTTTGGCTTGATTTGGAAGACTTCTATAAACAGTTGGACGTGGAAGGAGGCCGCCTTTCTAAAAATAGAAGCTAAGCTTTAAGTGGAAACATACTAGGAAGTGAGAAGGGAGAAGATAAAGAAGCAGGGAAAGAAAAAGCAAATTAGAAGAGACGGTAATTAGAGTAATAGTTGGCTAAGTTGAAACCCAGTTTTGTTATGCTGAGTGCAGCTGACTGTTATGCATTCTTTATTGGTTTGAGAAACGACCAATGAAAAATTAGCGTTTGACAATTTGACAGAGCTGAGTTACGAATTGAAATGTATATTTGATAAATATTGCAAAATGATCATTATTATATATAGTTGAGAAAAACCCTTTTGCTCCATTTGGGTAGAAGTTGACAGTAAAGTTTTGAATCAAAGGGGCCTTAATCTATTATATCCGTCAATTTTTTATATCTTCACCATACTTCATGTTTTCGTGTTCAAACTTCCAGATTTGTTAATTCGCGTGTATTCGAGTGTCTATTTGAACTACCAGATTAAACAGAGCTTATTTAAAATGAATTTTGTCCGTACAGAAATAGCTGTATTCAAAGAAGGACTACTTTATTTACTATTCTCGTCCAAACAGCAGATAATACCGATCGACAAATGTTACATTTAGAGCATCATTTTCGGAAATATTCTTGCAAGTCATATCTCTTACTTGTAATTTATTGCCAACATAAGCTTAACATAATTTTATAGGAGAGCTAATAGTAGTATAAGGTTGCACAGTTTTTTGCATATAAAGTGATGAAAGAAATAAATAAACAACCTTTTTCTAATTGCCAAACGGCCAATTGAACAGTGCAGATGGAAATTCTCTAGTAAAGGATTAATCAAGCGTAAGAAACAAGTATAGAGCAAATCACCGAAAATGTTAAATGAAACACCCTGATAGAATAGAGCTTATCAATATTCAGGCCTATTCTGAGTCATAATAAACCAGATAATTGGTAGCATGATGAGGGCAGGTATTGACGAAGGCAAGTATTCAAGACTTGACTGACCACCATCGCCAAATCGGAAGATAGAAATCAACATGGTAAGTAGTCCGTGCGTTCTCAAACATTTATTTTCAATATGAAACTAATTTTGTTAATAAGAATAAACTAATGTTAATTGTAAATACATAACCTTTGCTTCAACATAACGCATGAAAGCCATTAAGACAAGAAGGTGAAAATCAGCAATTGGATTTATTTATGCAACTATTGATTTATAATTTTCAAGAAGTCTTGGAAATTAACTGCTGGCTCGTATGCGATGATGTTTCAAATAACTAGTCCAAAAAACATGAAATTTCATTTCGCTATTTTGGCATGCCTATTTCAAACCCAATGACCCACTTTATAAGCAGGAATTGATAAGGGGGCAAATTGCATTTGGTCAATTGTTTCAAGAAGTGACCAAAGAGTGTATACAGAAGATGATTTCCATATTCTTGAACCAATTGCAAATATTTTTATATCAACTGGCAGGCATTATGATAGTTATCATTATCCCTTTAGTTGACTTCAGTCTTCACAGAGGGGAGGAACATCAAAGTCACAAAAGTGGAGAGGGGGAACAGAAGAGTGATTCACAAATGCAAAAGAGACAGACACAAAGGTGGAGAAAAAGGTGAGGTGAGTTCTGTGAAGTGGTGGAAAATGACATAGAGTAGGGCCATAGTAGCTTGATGTCAGAAGTCAACCACCGGTTTATAGACTTTTTGGCGTATGGGTATACGTTGTCCAGTGTGCACCAGGTGGAGATAAATCTATCGCGCACCCCAATGGCAAATATAAAGAAAATTGATCAACCTAATGCTTGAACAAATAGTTTAGACGAAGTGTTTCAATCGTCAGCGGTTTTATTAGTGGAAATTGACCTAGTAACGCCATACTGTCTTAGACAATGGTTTGGTTAACTAAAGACCTAATCACGATAATTTGATTAGGTTGTAAAGTTCCAAATTTCGAATTTATAATGTTTTCATCACGCGCGTTCCCTTACACCATATTAGCATGCTATTGGCCAAGAGACTGACAGCACTATTCTTAATTTCATTTCACAGATTTAGGAACTAGAGCTGGCGCCTACTCACGGTTTAAATATTTCAGTCATTAACTGTCATTCGAAGGCCTTTAAGGCTTTCAATATTTTTTATCGTTTCTGCCCGTCAATTAACCGTTCCTTTTTCGTGGGGTGTAGCGGATTGCTACTTTATTAAAGCCTGACTGACTCAGACATCTCTATGGCAGATTCTCCAACATCTAGCTAGACTCCCAGAACCAGCTAAGCTATAGCCCAGCTATGAAGGAAACAGACGTGTAGCACGGAACACGTTTATTCAGTGAGTATATTACGGATAAAGTGTGTACGCTATTCCCACTATTTCAATTTCAGATTAGAAGGAGTATCATATACAATCTTTTAATTTATTTTAATTCATTAATATTAGTCAGAATAAATCAACCAGTGGCCGCGTCCTTGTTCTTATGTATTTTCCCAGCAAAACGAAAAAAATGTTCTTTTCAATTCAAATTTTTCTATTTAC